GTACTCAGAAAACTATAGGACGCTCATGAAAGAAATTGAGGAAGACACAAAGAAATGGAAAAACGTTCCATGCTCATGGATTGGAAGAACAAATACTGTGAAAATGTCTATGCTACCCAAAGCAATCTACACATTCAGTGCAATCCCTATCAAAATACCATCAACTTTTTTTCCACAGAAATGGAACAAATAATCCTAAAATTTGTATGGAACCAGAAAAGACCCTGAATAGCCAGAGGAATGTTGAAAAAGAAAAGAAAAGCGGGTGGCATCACAATTCCAGACTTCAAAGCTGTAATCATCAACACAGTATGGTACTGGCACAAAAACAGACACATAGATCAGTGGAACAGAAGAGAGAGCCCAGAAATGGACCCTCAACTCTTTGGTCAACTAATCTTCGACAAAGCAGGAAAAAGTGTCCAATGGAAAAAAGACAGTCTCTTCAACAAATGGTGTTGGGAAAATCGGACAGCCACATGCAGAAGAATGAAACTGGACCATTTCCTTACACCACACACAAAAATAGACTCAAAATGGATGAAAGACCTAAATGTGAGACAGGAGTCCATCAAAATCCTAGAGGAGAACAAAGGCAGCAACCTCTTCGACCTCAGCCGCAGCAACTTCTCCCTAGACACATCGCCAAAGGTAAGGGAAGCAAGGGCAAAAATGAACTATTGGGATTTCGTTAAGATAAAAAGCTTTTGCACAGCAAAGGAAACAGTCAACAAAACCAAAAGACAACCAACAGAATGGGAGAAGATATTTGCAAATGACATATCAGATAAAGGGCTAGTATCCAAAATCTATAAAGAACTTATCAAACTCAACACCCAAAGAACAAATAATCCAATCAAGAAATGAGCAGAAGACATGAACAGACATTTCTGCAAAGAAGACATCCACATGGCCAACAGACACATGAAAAAGTGCTCGACATCACTCGGCATCAGGGAAATCGGAGGGGAAGATGAACCATGAGAGACTATGGACTCTGAAAAACAAACTGAGGGTTTTAGAGGGAGGGGGTGGAGAAATGGGTTAGCCCAGTGATGGGTATTAAGGAGGACATGGTTTGCATGGAGCACTGGGTGTTATATGCAAACAATGAATCATGGAACACTACATCAAAAACTAATGATGTATGGTGACTAACACAACATAATAAAATAAAATTTTAAAAAAGAATTGAATTTGTAGTTAAAAACCATTCCTCAAAGAAAACTCCCAAGATGGCATAACTGGTTAAATCTACCAAACATATAATAAAGAAATAATACCAATTCTACACAAACTTTCCCCAAAACATTGAAAAGGAAGGAATTCTTCTCAACATTTATTATTATTATTATTATTATTATCATCATCATTATTATTAGGGGCTAGCATTTTTACCCTGATGTCAAAACCAGATAAAGACAGTAAAAGAAAAGAAAACTACAGACTGGTATCCCTCATGAACATGGTTGCAAAAACTCAAACAAACGTGTATCTTAACAAAAGAAGAATACATCATGACCAAGTGGAGACTAACGCAGGAATACAGCTAACTTCTAATAGCCAAAAGCTAGGGAAAAAATTCAATCCATGAATGGATAAACAAAGTGATATATCCATACAGTGGAATACTCAGCAAGGACAAAGAATTAACCATTGATACATACAACAATGTGATTAAACCTAACACTGTGAATTTTAAAAAAGCAACAAAAAAGAGTACATACCCAATGAGGGGCCATAGGGTAGGGGAAGGGGTACAGGGATGGGAGTTGATTACCAACGGGCACAAGGAAATTTTTAGGGGTGATGGATATTTCATGCTCCTCATTATGGTAATGGTTTCATACATGTATACGTATGTCAGACTCACCAAATCGTACACATTAAGGGGCACTAAGGTGTTGGTCGAACTCCCAACTCTTAATTTCAGCTCAGGTCATGATCTCTGGGGTCATGGGCTCAAGCCCTGCATCGGGCTCTGCACTCAGTGTGGAGTCGCTTGGGATTCTCTCTCCCTTTCCTCTGCCGCTCCTGCTCGTGTTCTCTCTCTCTAAAAATAAATCTTTTTTTAAAAAAAAAAAGCACAATATTAGAATGTATGTATTACTATTATTATAGCAATCAAAATACCAAAAATAACATTTTTGTCATGGCATGGTGGAGTAACAGATGGTTTTCCTCCTTCATTTTCCGTATTTTCTTGAATGTTTTCCTAACTTTTGTAAATAAAATTATCTACAGTGAAATCACAAACATAAAAGGGAATAGTAATTCTATTTTACTTAACTTTTTACAGGGAATCACTTTAAAAATGAATGAGCTAAATCATTGTATTGTTGCAAGAATAATGCACGGGGGCATGATTCACAGGCAAGGTAAGTTTCATATGTGATTCTTTCCCTCCGTAACTGTTTGTTCCTGTAGCCCAGTGAAAGTATTTTTTATGATCCATGTAAACAGTCTTTAATCTGTGGTCCACATAAATGATCTATTTAAATTATCTGTCTTTGGTTTTAATCGCTGTTGGTCTCCATTTGTTCATATTCATCTGTACATGCTCCAGCCTGTGGATAAGGGAGGGGAGGGTATATTACAGTTCTGTTACTGGAACATCTCTGAATTACTGTTTGGATCCTGACTTATGAAAGACCATGGGGGATAAAGCAAAGTATCATACTTGGCCCCCGGATATATGGGAGGCATCTATTCTGGGACATACAGACATACATATGTACATTCATTTATGGATAGAGATATATAATGACAGTTCATGAATTTCTCATTCACTCAGGAATGAGATATACTCTTTCTAAATTAGGAAATTAGAGTTTGATAAATAATATAAAAATTAAATGGTAAAATAAGAGCTATCTAATCTGGATTAAGTTTTTAATACCTACTACAGTAATTGCAGTCATTCTGAGAAGGGACTTCACTAAGGCCTGAAGTAAACAAAGAATGAGTTTTTGAGAAAGGGGAACTTTCATTAACTCTCAGGTGGGCAAGATTTGCACATGCAGGCGTAGCCTCCTCTTTGAATGGGCTGAGTTATAGGTGCTAGTGTTTACAGGCTGATCCAAGAAATGATTCTCCTGTCCAAAAATTAGGCTTCCTTTCTTTGAGATCAGGGTTTTTTGGGGGAGTTTTTTTGTTCTTTTTTTTTTTTCCTTAGCACCCTCTTTACTTTTTCCTTAACCCCAGAGAGCAAGAAGTAACACCAGAAGCATTTTCCTGCCTTCCTGACCCCTGTGTACACAGATGATGTCCAGCATCACTCCTGCCTTCAGGGGAATCTTTATAGGCTGCAGGAGTAGACAGCGCTCACATGGGAGAATTGGTTTTAGACTCCAGGATGAATTTTCTGTTTCTTATTTTAATAATTTGCTATAAATTCAGTAAAGTCACAACATCGTTTCTGTCATCTCTTTTTCTTATATTAATGTGTGACTAGGACCTGCCATCTCTGATAGAAGTGGTGTAGTGGACCTCCTCCTCCTAGTCTTGTTTTTGAAAGGTAGCTTTCCCATGATTCCCCACGAAGAATGCCATTTACTGTAGAATTTTAGTGAGATGCCTTTTATTAGGGTTGAGGAAGTTCTCTTATATTCTTAGTTGCTGAGCCTTTTAATTATGATTGAGTTTTGAATCTTACCAAATGCTCTTCATCTGCTGAGATCATTTGGGGGTTTTTTCCTTTTATCTATTAACGTAGTGAATGACTTTTGAAGATTTCCTAATGATAAACCCCTTCTGCGTGTCTCAGATAAACCCAGCTTACTCACTGTGGGTTATTTTTTTTTTTTTGGTATGTACTGCCGGATTCTGTGTGCTAATGTTTTGTTTAGAGTTTTTGTATTTGTAATTATGGGTGAGACTGGCCAGTAGTTAATTTTCCTTTCTTGTCTTTCTCTACTGGATTTTAGTTTCGAAGTTACATTGCCTCATAAAATGACGTGGAGAACCTTCTCCCTTCATGAGTTCTCTGAAGGACTTTGTAGAATACTGGAATGATTCATACCTTCAAAGTTTGGTAGAACTTGCCTATAACACTGTCAAGGCCTGGTGTTTTGGTTTTGATTTTGGTTTTTTTTCGAAAAGACTTTTTTTTTTTTTTTTTAAAGGAAGCTCTACACCCACTGTGGGGCTTGAACGCATGACCCTGAGATCAAAAGTTGTATGTTCAACCAGCTGAGCCAGCCAGGCACCCCAGGAAAGACTCTTTTTTTTTTTAACTGCTTCAATTTCTTTAACATTCATAAAGTTATTCAGGCTTTCTATATCTTGAGTAAATTTGGTAAATTACATTTTCCTTAAAAAACTTGTTTTAAAAAATTATTGTAGTAAGCTTCTGCATAGTGTTCTCTTACCTTTTTATTCCCTGCCATCTCTATAATTATGTCCCCTTGTTCATTCTTAAAATTGTTTATTCATGCCTTGTCTTTTTTTCTTTTAACCAACTTTGCCAGGGGTTTGTTCAAAAACCCACTTTGGGGGCGCCTGGGTGGCTCAGTTGGTTAAGTGACTGCCTTCGGCTCAGGTCATGATCCTGGAGTCCCGGGATCGAGTCCCGCATCAGGTTCCCTGCTCAGC